GACAAGATTTCTTATTGCAAGACGACAACTTAAATTCATTAGTAATCACCACTTTTTTTAAGTTATTTTCATCCAGATATTCATACCAGAAGATTTTGAGGCTTCAAATCCCTATGGCAAACTCCAGGTACTGTGTGAATATATGCAAGCCCCCGGAAAATCTACAATACACCCAAAAATCCTATATTTGATTAGTACAAGAATAACATGGGAGATTGGGTTAACCTAAATAAGGAGTAGATACCTGGTACATATAAAGCTTCACATAGATTAGTGGCATTCTCTGATTTGCACTGCTGTAGTGCTTCAACACCCGATACATGCTCTCAGGTACATATTCCATGACCAAGTTGAGGAAAAGTTCGTTTTTACTTGTGGTGGAAAAGAAGCAATGCTTCAAGGAGATGACATTTGGATGATCCATCACGCGCATTAGCTGCAGCTCACGATTTTTATATCTTCGGTCTTGCAAAACCTTCTTTATAGCGACAGTTTCCCCAGTTTCCAAGCATTTTGCCTAAAGAAACCGACATGTTAATTCTTTGAAACATTAGCAACACAAACTAAGACAAACCACATAGTTTGACTACCTGGAAGACAATCCCAAAGGATCCTGTTCCCACAACACGCTCGGCCATATAACTAATGGTCTGCAACAACCAACACAAGGAAACATGAAATTCCAAAGCATGGAAAACAAATCTAGAGTCAGTTATCAAAGATCTACATATCCAAATAGCAAATTCATGTAAAGACATACCTGCTTTGGCTCTCCATTTTTGCCCCCGATTGTAGTGGAAATGATGTGGCCAGTAACTGGATCATTTCCATCAACAACAGCAGCAGACATTTCCTGCAATATGTATGACCATCAAGATTTCACTTATGGGCACTCTCTAAATCATTTGTCAAGCACAATAAAGTTTAAAAACTGAAGGAAAAAAAAAAACTCCTCTAACAACACAAACAGGAAGATGACAGAGAGTTTAAGAAACATAAAAAAAGAACTAAGTTTTCATACTTGGAGACAGCGGATAACAATAGAAGAACTATGTATAAGCTGAACTTCAGTCACCTAGTGAAGCAATTTTTCTAAGGAAAAGAAAAGGCAGCAAAATAATAGAAAAATACAAATTATTGGATTCGTAAGTTAATAATAGCTAAGCAAGTACGATATCTAAATCATAAAGCTGAAACATATGAACTGTAAATTTACATGTAACTGAAAACAGACCCAACACCAAAAATTCACCACATCCAAGTAAAATAGAACGAAGTTAGCTGCCATCGAACTGAAACTACCTTTAAACCTAGAGCATAGATCAGATATCCAAACAAGTGAAAAGAAAAAGATACAGCACGGCAGAGCTAAAAGCTTCGGGTGTTGATGAAAAGAAAAAAGAATCAAATGCGAGAGAAGAAAGAGTGAAATATCTTCAGATCGAGACGAACAACGAGCATAACAATAGTTTACGGATTTAAAATAAGCTGATTTAGCCAGATCCTGCATGAAAAATAAAAACTATATACCCAAAATTAACAAAAACAAAAAAGAAAAACTTCATACCCTGCTTGGGAGCTCAGAAAAAGCAAGAAGAGAAAAACAAACTCAAAAAAAGCTCATGTTTTCACTGAAAAAAATGCAATAATTCCCGCCTCTCACCACCAAAAAACTAATCTTTCCTTCATCCTATTTGGAATTTGTATTGAGCAAATAACAAAAACAAAAGAGAAAATAAGAGAAACAAACATAACGTCTAAAATCCTCTTTCGATCGCCTTTCCAACCTTTTCCTCCAAAACCCAGAAATGAAAAAGGAAAAACAATTGGACCCAGAAAAAGAAGAGCCAAAATATGCCGAATTTTTCCGGGAAAGCAAAGAGATTTTCAGGGGAAATTAGTGAATAAGTTACCTTATCATCCGCCATGGGTAGAAAGAGAAAGAGAGAGAAATAAGAAACAGCTAGAGGAAGAACTTATTGAAGATGGTTCAATCACTTTGGTTGTTGATCATGGTGGAGAGAGAAGGAGAGAGCGGGGAAAAGGAGGACCCAGACAGAGAGAGAGAGAGAGAGAGAACAAGCCCATGTGAATCCAGCTCTCCTTTCTTTTCTAGTCTTTGTTTTCTCTCCCTACTTTCCGTTCTCTTCGCTTCCCCTTCATTTTTATTATTATTATTTTTTAATTTCACAAATTTCCATAATTACCCTCCAAATTCTGGTTGAATTTACGAGAATGGGATTTGGACTTACTTTAGAATTGAAGAATACAAGAGAGAGAGTCTTCGCCGACGGTCAATGTGATTGGACGAAACTGCCCGCGCCCCTCGTTACGTTACCGTTACATGCCGTTTTGTTTTCTTTATTTTCCTTTGTTTTTTTATAACTAATTAATTTAAATCTTGAACAGTTAAGAATTTTAAATTTTTTAAATGCACAAATAAATCAATTTAAATCTTAAATTTATAATATATATATTTTAAGAAATAAGAGTAGATATTTATAAATTATATTTTTTTAAAACAATAAAAATTAATTTTTAAGCACATAATCAAATAGATAACAAATAAAATTTAAAAATTATGCTAAAGTAAAATTTTTATTTAAAGGAAAACTGTTTACTTAAATCCTACTGAAAATTTTATTATTTTAATTGAAACTAAAACTGTCTAAATAAATATTATATTAAAAATTAAATTAAATTGACTTGTGTGTTGTACTACTACCTAACTAAGAATTTTGTTGAAATTAAAAATTTAAAATCAAAGATAAACACTGATTGTCTAATTATTTAATCTATTTTATTTAATCGACAAAACTGAAAATGTCAATGTCTTAAAAATTATCTTGTAAAATATTCTACTGATTTAATTATATATGTTGTTTAATTAAAAATTATATTTGACTATTTTTGTTTGGTAAATATTCTATTAAAATTAGAACTGTCTAATTAAAACAATTTTAGTAAGATTAAAACTGAGATAATTAAAATAAATTTATGACGTGAAATGTTATTATTATATTTTAATTAAAACGATACAATTGAAAGACCATGTTAGAATTGTATCAATTAAAAATTCTATTAAAATTGAACTCTTTGGTTAATAATTATCCCGTAATTAGTGAATTATGACGAGATCAAAAGTGATTCAAAATGCCTTAAAATTATGCTAAATACATAATCAAAATATTTCGTTGTAATTAAAATAATGTAAATAAGAAGGGTATTATCTCATAATTGTATTCATTTATCTTAAACTAAAACTCTCTTATTAAATGCTACTTAATAAATGAAATGTGTAGGAGTTTTATGTTGACCTATTTGAAACTTATCCAACTCAATTACGAGAATATAAATATTTTTCTTTTACTTTTTTTTTATTGGAAAATGAAAATTACAAAAAAAAGGGGAATTTATGATTTAAATATTTAATTAATTTGGTGATTTTATGAATCTAGTTTTATGTGTACGTACAATTTCTAATTATTCATTTTTTTCTAACAACATGAAGAGAATATTTCTTATACGTTTATAAAGAGTAATATTAACTTATATTTTTTTTAGGTACAAAGGGTAAAAGAGACAGAAAACAAAACTAAAATTTAGAGGAAGCAGATTCTAAACTAAAAAAATACGGATGGAGTCTTCATTCATAATGTTAAAGAGTGTGGCAATCGAATGTAAGTTAGTCGGAAGACGAAGAGAATTTAAAAATATTTGATAAGTAGTCAGCATAACGATTAATTTCTTTGTAAACATGTTTAATCTTAATACTCTAATCACGCTCTAAACAAATCATATTAACTTATATTTATACTAATGAATTATTTATCAAATCAATATAATTAATGTTTGATCTAAAAAAGAAGAAGAAGATATATTTAAAAAGTGGGTTTATATAATAGGATAAATAATCAAAACTTAAGCTATCAAGCCAGGATTATACTATTTGGACTCAATATTTTTTTGTTAAACCTTGGTTGTGACACCCAACTAAAATTTTATTTATTTATTATTAATAAATATAATTTTTTAATTATTTATTTTATTTTATTTTATTTTATAAAAATTTAGATAAATTGATAAATGATTAAATTGAAAATAATTTTGAAAAAAATAGTGAAATTTTGGGTTCTGAGATTATTTTTAAAAGAAAAATCAGAAATCGGATGTCAAAACGCAATTTAAAAAAATTACACCATGTTAGACGTCCGGTCAGCAACTCCGGCCAACCAGGACGCGCCAAGTGGCAGAGGCGCTGACGCGGGAGGCCACGCGAGGGGAGCCATGTGGGCGATCTGCGTGCGCACGATTGAACGGCTGAGATCCGTTCCCGCTCGCACGGATGGCATAGATGAATCGTGATGAACAGCCCAGATTCACTCCCTATTTAATCGTGATCGGACGGTACAGATAAAAAACGATGGACGGTACAAATCAAAAGTGGATGGTTATTTATACTCATCCGTACTCAAACCCTAACCCTAGTTGCCAGAACTCCTCGCCGAAGAAGACAACCCAGCCGCTAGAGAGCCGACCGCCACCGCACCGGAACCCTTCCGACCGTCAAAAAAGGTAAAAAATTATCTTTTTGCATAAAATTAGATTTTAAACCCACCCATAGATAAATCGGAGTGAAATAATCAGCCAATTGACCGGAAAAACACCGCCGAAGCCCGGCGCCGCCACCGCAGGAAATTTCACAAACCACCTCCGATGAGGTCCTTTCCAATTCCCGTTTTGTGTAATTTTTTTACCGTTGTGGTCACCGTTTTCTTCTCTACAGGTTGAACGAAGTGAAACACCCAACCGCAACGTGAGTCGGAAGAGCCGCCGCACCGGAGAGCCCTGCCGTCGGTGAATTTTGATTTTTCGTATTTTTCGAACCACCGAGGCCCTTTAGCATGTGTGATCGCAGGAATCGATGTAAAATCAACCGAATTTGGCCGAAAACGGCCGATCCGAGACGGACCACAGGTGCGGGCGGCGGCACCGTCGCCGGAGCACGGCGAAGCCGACGTTGGCCGAGCATGGCAAAGCCACCGTGCGGGATTTCTGAAATTGATCGAGTACGCATTGGGACTGATTTTTGGGTTTATTTGGAACATTTGTAGGTACTATAAGTGCATTTCAGTTTTCGAAAAAAAATTCAGGGAACCTAGGGATCGCCCGTAGGCGCAGTAAGCCATTTAGCTTTCGGTGTCAAATTAAGTAAGGACCCCTCACCCTATTTCCTATATAGAATTGAAGTTTGAATAAATAATAATACGGTATTTTGTACAAATTAAATAGATTTGCATAATTAATTACAGATTTTTAATGGAGTCCGAACTAGATATTGTTCTCTGTTGATTTCTATTGATTTATTTTGCCGTCTAAAAGTATGATGGTTTCTGCTTTATCTATTTTATGGTTTAAATGCATGTATTATTATCTTACTCGACCACTGTTTGATTTTGGGATTTAAGATATGATTGCATCACCGGATGCATGTTCATTTGTTTATGTGATTATGTTTGATTTGGTAACGGAGACTAAGGAAAAATAGGAAAAGGGTGTGATCAAATAAAAAGATAAGATAACAGCCTCACTAGATATCTTGGGAGATGGTGGACGGAATGGATTCATAGGGAACCCTACTGTAAACGTTGTCTCATACCAAACGAGATATGGAGACTTGAAAATTTGGCACTCATACCGGACGGGGAATGAAGATGGCCCGCTTCACCCTCATACCGGACGAGGTATTGAGGTTTAATATCTTGGTGCTCATACCAGACGAGGTATGAGGACGACCCTGTAATTGAGATTATTAAGGAAAATAGTTCAGGTGTAGCGGGGACACCCCTATGGATCTGCATGGATACTAGTAGGCTGGTGAAATAAGAAACGGTTATGATTTAGTTTATTATTAATGAATATGAATTTATGATATGTTCTATGTTACTGATTGTGTATGAAGTTATGATCTGTATGATATTATTGTCTCTATAGGTCGTTTTCATAAATTCTATAATGATAAGTGAACGGTAAATGATTTTACGATTGATAAACGAATTTGCTAAATCTAGTGTTCCATTAGTTGTTTTGATTTTCTACCAATCATTGCTTCTGTGCTGGTAATATAGTGTGATATTCTTATTGGGGTAGTGTAACTCATCCCTTATCTAACAATTTCATATCAAAAGAACCTGGTTTTAAAGTTCAATCCGCAAGAAGATTGCGAGTATCACTAGATATTTTTTATTTTCCATTACTTTTCGTATTTCTCGTATTTCTTTCAGAGAATTCATTCCGTAATATTTGTTTAATACTTTTAAGTTATTGTGTAAAGGATGTAAAACTTAATATTTTATTTCGTTTACGCACTTAAATTATTATATATTTCCTTTTAAATTTTCAGAGTCGTTACATTAGTTATTTAATACGTAGAAGTTAATTAAAATTTACCCATTTAATTTTGTCTTTTCAACCTCACTTATATCTTATTCCGCAACTATAAATTTCGTACCCAAAATTTCAATTTCACAAAACCTCAATATAATAAAAGAAATGACATGCAAGTGAACAAAACTGAGAAAGAATAAGCAAAGAAGAAAATGATAGTAGGGATTCACTGGGTCAGAGATCATGCTTGACATGTGAATGGAATCCAAAGCCAATTGGGAAAATTTTCTAATATATTCTGAAGCTATACACTCCTATGCCAATTTTTCAGCACTAGATCTCTTTCCCCCCAAAGGCTATTCTCTATCTTTTCTTATGTAATACTTTTGTAGTTTTGTTGTATGCATAATACATAATTTTAAATCTTTTATAATTATATAAAAATAAAAAAAAAGTATTATTCTACGCTAAAAATCACCATTGACTCATAATTTTTTTTTTTAAAGTAATAAAAAGATTGGAAAGAGAATAAGTCTTTTAGAATGGTAAAATCCATCCATGATGCATAAGTTATATATATATAAGTAAATATATTCCTAACAACAATGTAAAAATAGGTCTTGCATTATTTTTTGTGAAATATGCCTAATAAATAAAAGTAAATATTTGATCAATAACTTATATATTGAATAATTTTTTAATTTATAAATAAATAAAAATTTAAATGGATTATTTTTGTGTTTGTTAAATTAATTAAAAAATTGTTTTACTTTTTATATTTATACATTTAAATAAATAATTGTTATAAACTTTAATTTTATTGTCTATTATATATTATCAATTTAACTAAAAATGTGTGGATAATTTTTATATATAGTAGATATTGAATATATAAAACCAATTTGTTATTTAAAATATAAAAGATATTTAAAAAAAAATGATATATTAATAGCAACAAGTAATGAAACTTTTTTAATTAAATTTAGATATGATTCTTCTATTAAATTATAATTACATTATATAACTGGTTAATATTCTTTATTAATCAACTTAAAATATAGATTATCGTAATAATTTTATTATAATGTTTAAAAATAATTTTAAAAAATGAGGAAGCGCCGTATAGCAAATTCTGGTACTACTTACACACACACACATATATATTATGTTATTAGATACTTTCATATTATAGTAATTATTGTATATGAATTACCGAATTATATTAATAAATTTATTTTATTTTTTAAAATTCGCAATTAATCTCAGAGCTCCTCGCGCATATATATATATATATATATATGAATTAGAAAATTACAAAATTACCCCACAGTTTTGAAGGACTGATGAATGTGTCTGAGCGTCTCCTCATCCCTCTTCCACTCCGGAGCAGGAGCATTAACAAAGTGCGCATATAGCTTATTCTTCGCACAGGTAACGGCTATCAGACTATGCTTTCCGATCCCGTCAATTTCATACACATAATATACCTGACCTGTTTCCTCGTCTTTCTTCTCCTCCGACACCAGGCTGTCCGCTCCCGCAATCAGATCCTGCAATTCTACATCCGACAGCGCCAAATTGTTCAGCACCATGTCTTTCGGAGCCAATTGTCTGAATCCTGCTAAAAACGTCAGGTACTCCTTCTCCGTCCTCTTTTTCGGATTGTAGAACTCGCTATCCGTCCCGTTCGTTCCTTTCTCCACTTTCGACACCAGCCGCTCCTTCCATCCCTCCGGCACATCGTACACGTATTCGGCCGAGGCTTTCTTGTCGGAATTTCCGCCGTATCCCCCGTAGTTAGCGGCGCTGGCGGCGGTTCCGTAGTAGATCCGGTAGGGGCTGTCTGGTGCTGCGAGAGAGGACAGGGAGGTTGTGAAGATGGAGGTGGTGGCTATGACTGCCGTGAGGGTTATAGGTAGTGTTGGCTTAGAGAAGAGTTGTTGAGGTTTTGGTTGGGTGTTAATGGCAGTGATTGTTGTGGAAGAGGAGGAGAAGACGACGGAGGGTTGATAGCAGAGGGTCGCCATGAAAGATTCGATCTCTGTGTGTGTGTGGTTTGTGTTTCTATATCAACCATATCCAGTGAAGATTTATTGTTACGTGCTGGGACCACAATATGAAATATATAAACAAAAATCTGTTACTTTTTAAAATTGGAAAAATTAACTTTTTAATTTACAGACATTTAAGGAATATATATATATATATATATAAACTTTCCATTTTAAATAAAAAATTAATGATAGCTCTTTAGTTTACAAACTGTATATAATTTTCTTCATAAACTTTGATATTAAATTTATTTAATTTTCTTTTACATAATAAAAACTAACATAATAATAAAGTTATAAGAACAAAAATTTAACTAAATATATAAAAATTATTAAATTAAGTGATTAATCATTATATGGTTATAGTGTGAGCATAGAATTGACAAAACCATTGGGTTAAATACTTCTACTATTTGAAAATGTACCCTCTCTCTGCTATATATTTTCAGTGATTGTATATACACACACACACATATATAATTGGAAATATACAGTTGTGGAGAAAGGAAGATGCTTTTGAGGTCACACTATCATAAAAAAATTTAGAATTTGAAGTATACCATATACCAGAATCTAAAGTTGAAATATATTCTTACAACTAATTTTCAATACACAAATTCCTTCATAATTATGTTCATTGAAAATATAAACTATACAGATATGTACCTCAGTGCCTTGGCTTTGGGTGGCTAGTAATTCCACTGTACTAAGCTGGGTTAAAGTCTTACACTCTTTGCAAACTTTTGTCTCATCTTTTTGAGAGTGGCTAAGACAGCCCTCATATTTCCTCTATCATTAGCTGACTCTGCTGAGCAGTTCAAGGCTAATCTCAAAACAGATGATATACACTCCATTGTTGCCTCCAAATGCTTGTCATTATCTACCTTCAACAGAGTGTGTTATCCACAACATTTTCCCAAATATCCTCACTAAAAAATGACTCTTCCACCCATCTCCTTAGGCTTACTTCTCCTGCAAACATTTCATCTGTAGGCTTCTTTCTTGTGAATGTCTCCAGCACCAGAATCCCAAAACTATATATATCTCCTTTTGTTGACACAGTTCCCATTAATCCGTATTCTAAATTCACATAATTTTAGGCATTAGGTTTAGATAAACCATATTATTTAGAAATTAAAAGGGAAATTCTTGCTTATATAAATCATGAAATTAAACTATTTTCTTATTACCTAATTATCTTTTGGTTTTGATAAATTGTTACTTAGGCAAATTATTCAGCATCAAGAGTACTATGTTGTAATATTCTTTCTTAGCTGCTATGATATGGTTTTTCCCCTATTACTCATATATCCTGTCTTCTTTTAAATGAATTATAACCTATCATATATGTTTTCTCAAAAAAATAAAAAAAGAGATATATCATATATGATTTTGTACAAATTTATGTTTGTGTGAATGCATGTGTGTGTTTATGTTAAGACAAATTTTTCTCATATTATATAATGTAATTTAGGCTTTGTAATTCTTTGGCTTACTTAATCTCACATATTACTAATATATTTTGATATTGCATGGAAGAAAAAGAGGACTATATAGCATTTTTTTTAGAGGGGGTTGGGGGGTTGAAAGCTCCCTTTCCCCTCCTTCCTATGCCACTAATTATTCATCCATTCAGCATTTATACAAGAAGCTTATCATTACTTTATCTATGGTTGAGGGTGGATTTGCTTTTCAAGGATTTTGAAAAAACATTTGATTCAGTTGATTACTTGTAAGCTGCTGGATCTGTATGTTATTTTAATTGTATCCTTTTGGAGTTTGTTGGTGTCACGAAGCCTTTGAAGGTGTTGTAGGGGAAGGGTGAAAAAAGGAATTCATGTACAAGGATGAAATATGAAAAACACACGCAAGAATGTGAAAATGTTATTTCATCCTTAGAAAATCTGGAAGATGTGGTTAGGGTTTTCGGTAGGTAGTTTTGCCGACCGCTATAACAAATCCTTTGCATGGGTTGCAACGGATGTGCACCCGATCTGTAATAGGCTGCCGTACCTAAAAATGCATTCGACCCTCGAGTATGCATATAAATAGACTGATTTCAGTGGAGAATGCATTGAAGAATCTATGAGTTAATACAAAATGGTGTAGGGAGTAAACCAGTTGAAAAAATAATGGACCAAATTAGACCCAATTCATGGGTTAATGCGAACTGGTTTTTAACCCTTAAATGTGAACCAGTCCAGTTCGCACCAACCTGGTCAGCTTGCCCAAAGTGGAAATTCCATTATTTGAAGGTATAAATCCCGGCGCTTGGATCCAGAGATGCGACAAATATTTTTTGGTACACTGAACCCAAAAGGAATAAAAAGCAGGGCTTGCATTACTCTTCCTTGATGAACTGGCGGATGTTTAGTACTAAGGATGGTTGGCGAAAAATGAAAGCTTGAATTGTATGTATGTTAAGAGTAAGGTAAAAAATAGAGGTAGAAATTAAGCAAGAAGAAAATGATAAGTGAATCAAATTGAATGTAGAGATGGTATCATTACCTGGAGCCATATACCCAATAGTGGCAAGCGTCAAGGTGTGTCTCACAGACTCATCATCTCCTAAAAGTTGGGAAACACCGAAATCAGCCACATGTGCAACCATATTGTCATCTAGGAGGACATTGGTAGGCTTTAAATCACAATGGGCAATTGGTGATGGAAGATTGTGATGAAGATATTCCAGAGCTGATGCAACATCTATTGTTATGTCCAGTCTCTGTAGCATGTTTAGAAAATGGTTGTGAGAATACAACCAGTTTTCAAGACTCTGATTAGACATGAACTCCAGCACTAAGGCCTTAAAATCATCATTGGAGCAACTGCTAATGATTTTGACAAGATTCCGATGGCGGATATTACGCATCATATGACTTTCAACTTCAAAACTTCTGAGAGCTTTCTCTAACGGCAACTTGAAAACCTTTATTGCAACATTTACCCCATCTGCGAGTGTTCCCTTATACACTGAACCAAAACTTCCTATTCCGAGCAAGTTTCTTTCGCTGAATCCGTTAGTAGCTCTTTTAAGTTCAATATATGAAACTCTTCTCCATGTTGCAAGGAGTGAGAAACTTTGTTTGTTCTGCTTGTTGGCCTGCTGTTTATGCCTCCACCTATAGATGATAAAGATAACAGTTGCTATTAATATTATGTATGCAATGCCTGGAAATATGAACTGGAGTACAAGTGACATGACCCTTTTGGATCGATCAATAGCTGGCCTTTTGCAACACGGAACAAGTAGTTGCGGTGAACCGCAGAGAGCATAATTATGCAGAAATGATTGAGCTGAAAAGTTTCTAAAAGGCCCTCCAGTAGGGATTTCTCCTTCTAGCCTGTTGAAAGACAAGTTAAGCTGCTTGAGATGGGAAAGCTTTTCCAAGGACTTGGGAATAACTCCTGAAAGATCGTTGTAAGAGAGATCCAAGAATTCCAGGCTTATCAGATTTCCAAATGACTGGGGACTATTTCCTTGTAAGCCATTTTTTGCCAAGGAAAGATGCAAAAGACCTTTTAGGCCTCCAACGCTTTCTGGAAGATTACCGAAAAATTGATTACTTGATAAGTCTAGTTTGGTCAAGACCTCCAGATTTTCAGTATCCATAGGGAGATTGCTAGTTAACGAATTCAAAGACAGGTTTATTTGCAACATGTCAGTGAGTCTCCATAAGGTAGATGGTATAGCAGAAGTTAGTTGATTGGAGCTTAAGTCGAAATCTCTAAGGGAAGATAAGTTATATAAGCATTCAGGCAAAGACCCGTGAAAGGCATTACCATTCAAGATCAAAGCATACAGACTCCCTAAGTGACACAGTTCAGGAGGAATAGATCCTTGTAATATGTTTTGAGGAAGATACAATGCTTGTAGATTTTGTAGTCTGCCAATTGTGGCTGGAAGGGCTCCAGTCAATTCATTGTTGTCAAGGCCTAAACCTATCAGACTGCTTAAGTTACCAATCTCTTTAGGCATACCACCCTTAATTCTGCAATTTCTGGCATTTAAATGGTGAACAGATGAAGAGAGATTTCCAATAGAGGTTGGAAGGGTGCCACTCAAGGGATTATATGACAACTCAATGACTCTTAACTGTCTGCAATTTCCCAAGGAATAGAGAAAGCTCCAAGGAGAGTCAGAAGATTGTGCTGTCAAATTATTATGGTGCAAGTTCAGTATTCGGAGTGATCTTAAGTTTCCAAGTGTATCTGGTATGTAGCCTGAGAAAAAGTTCGAGCCCAATTCCAGGAGTACGAGTTGGGAAAGATTGGAGATAGAAGCTGGGATCACTCCGTTAAGGTTATTTCCCCACAGGTAAAGCTCCTCGAGGTTTGGAGCCGAAAGACCTATGCTTGATTCCAGATGACCGAAGAGGTTGTTGTCTTCTAGTTCAATAACTCTTATGGTCGAGATGTTGAAGATGGTGGATGGGATTACACCAGTTAACTTGTTAAAAGCCATATTCAGATACATCAGATTTTGCAGATTGCCAATGTCAACAGGTATTTCACCTGCTATGGGGGGAACATTCATAAATAATATTATATGATCAGTCTAATAATTCCTCATAAAAAATAACATATGCAGGACAAGTAAAGATGATATATAGATAGAAACCAAACCTTGTAGGTTGTTATAACCCAGATATACTTGTTGGAGCTTGGTCAAGTTTCCAAAACTTCTGGGTAATCTCCCTGTGAATCTATTGAGTGACAGTGCCAACAGTTGAAGCTCCCTGCACTTATCCAAGCTTGAAGGAAGCTGACCTTACAATTCATTATCAGCAAAAGAAAGATACTCAAGTTTAGGAAGAAGATCACACATTTGATCTGGTAGAGTACCAGACAAGCTATTGTCTTGCAAACTAAGCTTCTGCAGTGAGGAAATATTGAAGATGGTCCAAGGAATAGATCCACAAAGGTTATTTTATGTCAAATAAACTACTTTAAGGTTAGTAAGCTTACCAATCTCACGAGGAATGTTTCCACGAATGAGATTAAGACTCAGGTCCAATACCTCCAACTTAGACAAGTTCAGCAGATAATACGGAATTGTACCTGATAGACTGTTATTACAGAGGCTGAACTGACGCAAATTTCGTAAATTACCGATTGATGATGGTATTCCTCCATTGAGGTGATTGTCGGTCAAATTGATGAACTTCAAGTCCCACAATTGAGTAAGCTCTTCTGGTACTGGGCCATGAAAATTGTTGGTGCTCAAGTTCAGGGAGACAAGGAATGAGAGATTACCTAGATGGGGAGGGATAGTGCCCGTCAGCCCCATGTCTGAAAGGTCCAAAGCTGTGACTCTTCCATGGCGGAGACTGCAGGAGACACCAATCCAGTGGCAAACAGTGGCAGAGGTAGTCCAATTGTATAGCAAGATGTTTTCACGGCTGAAGGTGATGAAGGATTTAAATGCCAGAAGAGCTGATTGATCAATACTCAAATCTTTGATTGCCATTGCAGCTGTACAGAAGCATAGCAACAACAATATTGAAACCAAATGGAAACTCATCTTCATCTTCTTCATGGGTGCTCTTTTAATCTCCTTTGAAGTGGAACTAGACCATCCTAATGTTGACCCTTGCATCTATATATATATATATATGCATTGAAAAAGAGAGATAGAGATATTGAAACATTCTATCTCTGTCATTGGATATTGAAAAAAAAAAAAAACAAAACCAATAAATGGATTAAACATCTTTGCCTTTGAGATTAAACGTTTGAATGCTGAATTGTGCTCTAGACAAAGGCAACAGACTAAAAAAATCTTCAAATAAATAACATTATCCTCTTTATTACTTAGTGTGTAATCTTTTTCTAAGGAAATTAAACAAGTGTCCTATAATGACAATGAAAATTAAACATTTTCATTTTAAAAGTAAGAAATTATATTTTCTATGGACAAATAAAAAACAAAGCTGAATATGTTTCTAATCCTATAATGATAATCTAATTTTTGCAAACTTAAAACTGAGTGTAAAATGGGTTGGATGTGTTTATTATTATTTTTTAAGAGAAAGTTAAGAGTTTATTCAATTAAACTACCATCCAATAAGTACCATCAATCATCAGAATAATTCTCAACGTAAGTATAATTCCATAAATGTAAAGAATAATCCTCTTCGTTGGTTTGTGGCTGGTCGGAAGAATTAAAGAAGAATGATGTTATTGTAATTTAATATTCTGGGGACGTTTATTTCAAAATCTAATTGGTTTGTTTTCTACCAAAGAGTCAAAATTACAGAGTAGAATTAGAAACTACCCTTCTTCTTCTTCTTCTTCTTCATGTATCTTGAAGAGAAACAAAGGAGGATATCTGAAATAACGAAGAACAGATGACTATAGTTTATAGCTAGTTTAGCAATAACATAAAAGTTCTGTTCCAAAATAGTTAGCACATCTTTATGTAGTTAAATTATTATCATACCTAATGGTCGATTTTTGCATTCCAATTTCCCACACTGCTGACTCCAAAGAATTCTTACCGGTCCCTTCCTGATTTCTCTCTCTCAAAAAAGCTTCTTGGTCTTCTCCTTTCTCCCCTCTCTTTTGGTGTTTCTCAACTCGGAAGAAAAAGAACGCCCTCAAGCGCTCAGCTCTTCCCCCAATTTTACGGAAGTCTCCCTCCCCGGTTTAACAAAAACCTCTGTTTTCGCTCGCCAAAAGCCCATAAAATTTCCCTCTTATCCCCTGAAATTCTCTCCATTTCCACCCACCAAAAACCCCAAAAGATTCCCTCTCAGTTTTTCCTTTCTCCCCTCTGTTTCTCTCGTCTCCAGACCCTCCTTAGCTGCGTCTCTCTCCCTCTTTTTCTCTTCGGCCGAGCCCAGTCGATTTCTCCATTTTCCCTCAAAATTTCAATCGCTTCCCCTTTTATAGTCAGAGGAGGACGCAATACCTCGAAGTTCTCCTTGGGTCCAGTCATTTTCAGTCTTTCAACCAACGGCTCCTTTGGGGTTGACTTCACCCTCCTCCCTCGATCAACGCTTCATCACCGAAAAAGAACGGGGTTTTTCGTCCTTGTCCTTGTGATCTTTCCACTGTCTTCCCCTCTTTTATGGCCAAAATCAAACTCCCACTAGATACCTCGAGTCATTCCTCGATCCGAGTCTGCGTCTCTATCATCTTCCGCTCAAATTCCTCCATTACCTTTTCTAATTCAAGCTTAGATCGATTTTCTGTTTTTTCTATTGTCCTTCTCTCGCTATTCCTTTTACCTCGCTTCGTTTTGTACCACTCACATTCTGCTAGAATAAATTTTCATAATAATTAATTAATATACGATAATAAATAATGATATATGAAAATAACGAAATTTTTTTATGTTTGAAGGATTATATATTAATACAGTGTTAAGTTAGCCTATAAAGTCCTCTGCGAAAGATGGAGTGCCACTGCAACAGCTTCGATTGGAAACTACCACGGAGGTAGAAAGTTCATTGATACACGACTATTTAATAATTGCCAACGAGGACTACAAAGTGATAATAACACCGAGCATATGAAATCATGTATATTCTGTAATGAAGGGCCAGGCTCATATCTATATATTTTTGTTCAACGTCATCTGAGTAGTGCCCTTTGGATGAGTTGTAAATGATGTTTCAAGCCAAATCAGCTAAATCTGAACTCAAGCAATGAATATCCAAACTACATGTTTCACATGCAGAAATTGACCAGAGAAGAAAGGGAATTCTAGCAAAATATTTTGCCGCATGCATCCATCATGGCAGACTATATATGAGCTGGAGAAATCAAATTTTTCATGATAAAATAACATGGAATCCAAGCTTCACCTTGAAGATCAGGAAAACACTAAGAAGCATTTATAAAATGGCAGAAGCTGTGTTGTTTCAAGGTGGTCTCCCAACCGACAACGAAGCCGAAAGCATCTAAGAACTACAAGTGGTCAAATTTCAGTGTTATGTATCATTAAAAGAAGGGAAGGCCATAATTGCGAGTACCTGAGAAGAAAATGGAATGCACAAAGGCCACGTTGATTCTGTCAATACAAATGATTCACTAATGATTGAGACAGAAGCTATCCTCCTCTCTCTCAGGCTTGCAAGGATGCTTGGGTTTGAGAAGATTGTGGTGTTAAAGCAATTCACAGACTACTGTTCAACCACTGAACAGCCAATTTTTGTCGCTGGATTGGGTTATATGGAGAAGCTCGTCCTAGAAACAAGGGTCTTAATCGAAACTTTTATGTCTTTTGCAAAATATATTGATCCCCTAGAACCAACAACTCGAAACCCATAATGCAGCCAAATGGGCAGCGAGCCAAAATTTCCAGGGACTACTTCCAAGTTTTGTAGTTAATTACACATTTTTTTATTAAAAAAAGTAGCAGTAAATAGCTAAGTATCATAAATTACATGAAAATAAAGTTGGAGTGAAGCAAAAGGGCCTTCAAAGGTTAACCTATTACAAATATTGAATCCCAAGTAAGTACATGAAACGTAAATAAAGTTGCAAATAAGTAAAAACAAAACAAAATAAATTAACTTAATATACCATAATCATTGAAATAAAATAAGTAATTAAACAACTAGAGAGGACTAGAGTTTGGTTCTTTTTGACTGAATTCAAACACTGAAGGTACAGGTTAAACAACCGTTACCCTCAGTTTCCAATAAAACAAAACAAAAATTGAATTGAGACATGGTTTAAGAAAAGTCTCATGCTTAGTACAGTAGAAGAAAGAAACTTTTTAAGTTATATTGCAGAAGTTTCTTCCGAGGAGCAAGATTCAATAAAAACAGATAACTCTCCAAACATCTAAATGATAGAGAACATAACTAGATTGATACAATGATTGATTAAACGTTGATCCAAGCATGTATAATTGTTCTCTCTTTGCACCATAGCACATGCTCCCTTTTGATCACAGATTGTAGGAAGACAAGTGTCCTTCCTCTAATAATATGATCCACAACTGCTATAATTGTGTTCTAATAAAATAAGAACCCTTTAATTATTAATTTGTACAACTTTAGATTTTTATAGGCAAAAGAGGATGCTATTGAGTTTTACAAGTACACTCCATCATCTTGGTTTTGTATTACATCTAAAAATTTAGAATTTGAAATAATACCATACACAAGAAACTAAGTTAAAAATATATTCTTGTAACTAATTTTAAAAATACATTCCTTCATAATTATGCTCAATAAAAATATAAACTATAAAGAAATGTACTTTAGTGCCTTGGCTTTGGGTGGCTAGTAATTCCACTGTACTAAGCTGGGTTATAACGTCTTACACTCTTTGCAAACTTTTGTCTTGTCTTTTTGAGAGTGGCCAAGACATCCCTCATATTTCCTCTGTCATTAGCTGACTCTGCTGAGCAGTTCAAGGCTAATCTCAAAACAGATGATATACACTCCATTGTTGCTTCCAAGTGCTTGTCATTATCTACCTTCAACAGAGTGTTATCCACAACATTTTCCCAAATATCCTCACTAAAAAATGACTCTTCCACCCATCTCCTTAGGCTTACTTCTCCTGCAAACATTTCATCTGTAGGCTTCTTTCTTGTGAATGTCTCCATCACCAGAATCCCAAAACTATATATATCGCCTTTTGTCGACACAGTTCCCATTAATCCGTATTCTAGATTCACATAATTTTAGACATTAGGTTAAGATAAACCATACTATTTTGATTGAACAGGGAAATTCTTGCTTATATAAATCATGAAATTAAACTATTTTCTTATAACCTAATTATCTTTTGATTTTGGTAAATTAGTTACCCAGGCAAATGATCTAGCACTCAGCACTATCTTGTAATATTCTTTCTCAGCTGCTATGACATGTTCTCCCCCTATTACTTATACATTCTTTTCTTTTTTTACATGAATTATAATCTACCATATATGTTTTCTCAAGATGATAAAAAAAGAAATCTATCATAAATGTTTGTGTACAAATTTTTGTGTGTTTGTGCATGTGTTTATATATGTGTCTATGTTAGACAAATTTTTCTCATATTATATTATGTAATTTAGGCTTTGTAATTTTTAGTTTACATAATGTTACATATTACTAATATATTTGACATAGCATAGAATAAAAAGAGGACTCCATAGCTTTGTTTTTTTGAGAGTGTGTGGGGGATTGAAAGCTCCCTTGCCTCTCCTTCCTATGCCACTAATTATTATTCATCCGTTTAGCATTTAAACAAGAAGTTTATCATTACTTTATCTATGGTTGAGGCTGGATTTGCTTTCTCAAGGATTTTGAAAAAGCATTTGATTAACTTGAGTGTCTCTTTATATACATGATCATGGAAAAAAATGAAGGAATTGGATATACCAATGAATTTCAATGGGAATACCTATCAATACTCGTTAATGGATTCTCTACAAGACAGTTTTCAGTAAGGGGTTTGAGACAAGGAATCCTATAACTTCCCTTTCTTTGACATTTAATATTGCGGTAATTTCCCCTTTTCTGGCATTTAATATCGAGGTGAAAGGGCCTGTGCATTTAGTTAACAAGACAAGTAACCTGTGTCTTTCCTTTGGTCTCTCAAGACAAGTAATCTAAACTTGTTTAAACATCACAGATGATATACTTCTTTCTTTAATTCTTTGATTGAGATTTTCAGGATACTAAATGAGTTCTGTGACGCGTTTTGAGTTATTTCTGACTTAGAGATTAAAATTTTCACATGCTGTTTATATGAAATTGGAATTAACAGTGCTTTGTATAGAGTAGTTGGTAGTGCTCATTAGATATAGGAGAACATCCCAGCTGATTGCTCATCTGGGCCACCCACTGGAGAGCTAACCTAGAGGCCCTGTAACGGTCCCGGAAATTTAAAATGAAATGTGTATTAAAAATATCAAATGCGGAAACGAAGTCAAATTTTCGATTAACATCCCTTACACTAAAACCAAAAACGTGCTCATAAAATATAAAAAATCAAACTAATTAAAGGAGAAACTCGAAAGTAAAAGCTATGAATATGACTATGGAGTCTTTAGGCGTCCCCTTCATCGTCCTCCTGCGGAACGGGCTTGGAAACAATGTCTTTCTGATATGAAATGATTAGATAAGGAATGAGCTACACTAGTCCAGTAAAGACATCACGATATCTCACCGTCACGGAGGTAAAGGTGGGTAGAAAACACAAAAGGCCAATGGAGCATAATTTACAACAAATCCTTTTTATCAAAATAAAACTTTTACCATTCACTTACCTCGGTGAAATTCATAAACATATACGAAAGCAATAA